CTCAAATAGTAAATAAATGTACTCAATGCGTTTCATTGAGTTGAAAAATAAATAACAGCAATTAAATTATACAGCTGATCAAAATGTAAACAATTATGTTCTTCATAAGGATAACATTGGAACCTTCAAAGCCACTGGGGCAGAACCCAAGGGCCAGTTTGCAAATCTACGCGACACGCTCTTTCCAATGAAACGTCAATGGATAAAATCGGTTAAGAAATGGCGGAGGAGTTCAACCAACAAAGTTTCATGTTGCGTATTAATTATATAGATTGACATTTAACGTAAGAAAATTTTCTTGTTTGTATGTTACATCGGAACTATTAATTAAATTGGTTCACAAAAGTCATGTACTAAAAAGTAATAGTATATTGAATAAATGAGTGGATGCAAATAAATCAGAAATAGTTATGTCTATAAATAATTAAATACTGTTTTGTTTGTAGAATGAATATATTTTTCGTCATATTGCACCATTATTTGAACAAACTATGATACAAAACTAAAATAGTTTTCAGTTAATGAATCTCTCAAAATTATTTCTAACTCGTTTTCAATTTATTTTGCTAATGGAAACACGCAGCTGTTTAGTAAGTGATTCAATAGTATCGTCTACTAATACTAGCAGAGTACCCGTCCATCGTACGGGGTTGGCATATAAGTTTAAAATGCTTATTGCAGTTAGGTATGCGTTTGTAATGGGGGAGGAGAAAGTTTTATAAAATTTGCTTCTTTAAATTGACGGCATACTATGGTATTACACATCTACTATAGCCATAATGTTCTACCACTTCACCTAAAAAGTAATACAAATAAATTATTAAAAATTCTCAAAAAATCACAAATTATTCATGACATTAAAAACATAAAAATAACTGTAAACAATCCTACTCTGACAGTTCTTATTACATAAATGCAAAAATATAGTGCTGCACCCTGTTGGTAAATCGTATAACTTTAATGCTTTTTAATATCACAGAACCAACGTTTTTAGTTAAAACAGCTGACTAAATTCTATAATTCCCTTTAAATATGAATACTCATAAGGTTAACATAGGGAACTACAGAGCCACTAGGGCGGAGCCCGAAAGGAATTTTGAGATAAGAATATGCCTATATGTTAATCGGGAATGTGAGCTATCATGATGCCAAATTTCAGCCCAATCCGTCCAGTGGTTTATGCGTGATTGAACTTCAAACAAACAAATAAACAAACAAACACACAAACTTTCACATTTATAATATCAGTAAGATTATGACTGTGTAGTGTACAATACCAGGCTAATAAACTAGCGATATGTCAAAATATTTACAATAAGGAAACAATAAGCTACAAGCGATCAAACAATTGATACATATTTTCGATACATGCAATTGTTTACAATCGAAAGTACAACTAAGTTGACAACATCTGATTTTTACTCCCTAGGGTCTAAAACGATTTTTAATGGTACTTTAGACCCACAACGCATGCAATAAAATCAGCGGATTTGTTGCAGTATGACAAAAAAATATCCATATGTGTACCGATTACCTTATGACGTTATTTTGACATCCCCTGGATGCCTGATGACGACTTCATTAAGTCGAAACTAAACCAATTGTGTTTTTTCAACAATTTGGATTAGGCTACTTAGAAGCAGGTACGAGTATTTATACCGATTTATTTGTTCAATGTAATCTGGAGGCTAACATCAAAAATAAAAATCTTTACGTTATGACACCAAAATAAAAATCACCATGCCCACGATTTTGGTTTGTTTTTACTTCCGTCGAGTTATTAATTTCAAGCTGTCATTTAAAGAGTTATTAATCACAAAGCTGATTGAAATTAACCGATGTGAATTTTATAGGAGTAGGGTGAGTGCACCAGTGAATTTTTACCTTAAAATGTACTAAAAACTATTTATTAACGTTCCTGTAATGCTCATTATATGCAGAGTGTCCAGATTTTATGTGAGAATCTTGAACGGGTTATTTGGTGGAAAGAATGGGGATTAATAGAATTTAAAAAAGTTATATGTTATGCGGTGAATTCACTGTCGCAATTAGTTATCAGTTATATGAGATACATTTCAATCTTCCTTCGTACCGTGACCGGTTATTAGTAGGCCTACTTTAAAACATCTTAAATGTTTTTTCGCGTGTTATGTCCTTTGTGTATTTATTTATGTGTAGGCCTAATAGAAAAAATAAAAATTAAAAACTTGATTTTTCGTTTGTTAAAAGTACACATACACAACAGTTGTTAGTTTCGTTAAAAATAACATATTTGTATTGCCTTGGGTAACAATCAACTACATTTTATTTCATGAATGATTAATTCTAGGACTGGACTGAATGTCCAATTGGGCTATCAATACGTTATGATGCAATAAAACAAGCGTAGCCCTGTAACACAAGTCGACCCAAATTGTCCCAAAAGGTGTGGACTGTTTGTTTACACACTGTTTATTTATTTATTCCAACGGCAAGATCCCCAATTTACAATTTGGATACAAGATGACCGTGCGGTAACAACATGAATGTTAACAGACAACTAAATTAAATATAATGAAGAAAACTAAAAATAAACAGATTCTGACATTACTAGAGCAACATCGGTTGCTGTTGAGGAGCTTGAAGAGGAAGGACATATCTGCTACTCGTCTTCTGCATGCTAATGGCTGCAACTCGTAGGTTTCTGAGTCTACATCAATGGGGACTTCCGAGTAGTTGAACCTCTCTCGGCGTCCCAGGAACCTGATGGATCGTCTTTGGACTGAATCTAGCTTGTTTGGAAGCCCGAGTTGGTATAGAGTTGGTATTATTTTTTTACTCAAGTAGCTGACGGACAAGGGATTTGTACAAGATGGTAGCTCCTATGGAGTCCAGCCATTTACTGCCCGAATAACCAGGCCAAGGGTGCGACAGCCCCTGGCACATATGTAGCTGTTTTAACCAACTGTTTTTTTTTTACTGTATGCTGTTTTGACGATGTCAAAAATAAATAAAAGAAGCAGCGTTTCAACTGTAGGCCAAAACATTTGAAACATTATTATTTAAGGTCTGGTGTCAAGTAATAATTGAAAAAGAAAGTGGACCAGTATTTGTCCAGTTAAAGAAAAAAAAATACTTGCTGAATAAAAATGATTAATTTGTATTACGTAAAGGTCTATGTCAAACCACCAGAGAGTTTAACTTCCTTCGAAAGTTATTGTTAAAGTGCAGACTACTCAGTGTCCTGCACTGACATCTCAATCCAATTCCAAGTTGTTGAAGAGCAAGCAACTCCTTATCTATAAGAGAATAGGCTCGGTGTATGGGAGGCAAACAACCAAATCTATAATAAAATAAAATATAGCATATGATACAGCTAACCCCTTAGTTTAGGGGAGTGAGCTGGTCTAGAGGTTGGAGCGCGGGACTCCAGTTCCTGGGGCCCAGGGTTCAAATTCCGCCAAGTCACCAATGGATTTTATCTAAGTGATAATGCCGTAACCCCTAGATCTATCCTGAAGTAATGTGAAAAACAATTCCGGGCACGTGCCTAGCGTCCTACGGGAAAAACTGCTTAGTTCGAACAATTTCTAATTGTTTGAAATATAATGCGTGACTCAAAAGTCCCACCCCTGTTATTTTTTATTAGTTTAGATAAAATTATAATATTCAGGAAATTTTTATGTGATCAAAAAAGGAAGGTTTTGGTGTATGTAAATCATCACTCCCCACCCCCAAAAGAAATTTTCAAATGTGAACCATATAGAGTTATACATAATTGTAAAGGTCATAACAAAAGAAAAATAATAGTGCAAACTAGAGGTCTCTACGTCAATCCTAATAAAATTATTGCAATTTAAATGGAGACAAATACTTAGAATTTGTATGAAACGACATTATGCTAGCTATAATGACATAGGTACTTCTAGAAGGTGATAACGAACCTTTTTTTCAACAGGATATGTACCACCTCATTTTGATTTACGAGTAAGAGAGTTTTTAGACGAGGAGTTTTCCGAAAAGTTTATAAGTCGGTGAGGTTTTATAGAACGCCCGGCTCTTTTTTTCACTCGAACAATCATTATTTCTTCATTAATACTCACAGTAAAGTCCTACACAAAATCTTTGGTCCTACTAAATAAGGGCCAAAAAAAGAAGGGGGTATGGAGAATTAAACATAATCAGGAACTAAGGGACCTGTTCAAGGAGCTCGACATAATTGCAGAGGCTAAAAGCATGAGGCTTCGCTGGACGGGCCACATCATTAGAAGAGAGGAAACTAGCACATTATATCAAATGTGGACAAGTGATCCACTGCGGAGAAGACCACGAGGGGGACCGAGGAAACGCTGGACGGATGAAGTAAAGAAAGATATGACCAGGATGGAAGTCAATAAAGATACCGCAAGAGACAGGTCGACGTGAAGGAAGTGTGTTGGTGAGGCCAAGTACAACATAGGGTTCAAATAGCCATGGGAGTAAGTAAGTGCTGAAGCACAAATTCTAACTACTCACAGATTAATAATTCATAAGTAATTCAACATTTTACAACAAATTGGTTTCAAGCGAATTAAACTTTAATTTGTGCTTGGTTTTATTTCACTGGCAATGGAAAACTAATATTTTAAATTGTATACAGAAAAAAACTTTAATCCTTCTCGAGCAATATCCAACTTCGACTTTCATTTCAAAATCAAAAGTACTCCAATAACTTCTCAAACCTCTTTGACAAACTGCAAGATAAATCCGAACTTTTTCACAAAAACTTTAATAAAGCCGAGATACCAAATAAAACCCAGAGTTGGTGGCGGAAGATTTGTGTATTAAACTCGACATTGCTCTGGACTGTATCCGGGATGGTCAAAAGGACAGGAAAACCCATTTTGATTCTCAAAAGGCATATGACAGACTTTAATGAATAGCCGGTTGTTTGGGGGGTTTGTGTTGGCTTGGGGGGGGGGGGGTGCGTCGGCGCTAGGGGGACCTCGGCGTAGCGACGCTGTTGGACGCCTCAGTGTGTGCGAGGGAACGTACTTGCGAGTGTGTGTCCAGTGAACATTGATAAATACTTGTTGCTTTCTGCTCTCACGGATACATTCTTGAGCTCTGCTGGATAAGGTAGGATGTTCATTTTTGTTGAAGACTTGTGCTTAGAATCTTGACTTGGTTCTTATTCAAATTACGAAAGTAATATAGGAGGATGGTAGATTTTGATTGATTGTACTGTAAACACAAGAATATTGGGGTGGTTATTTTGGGGTTGGTTTTTCAAAATACAAGATGGTTTTCGAAATTAGTAGAAACAAACAATATATTTTACTGTTTTTTAATATTTTCTGTAACTTTTTTTATTGATTTAATTTATTGCAACATAACTCGATATTATTGAATACCGGTATAAACTACAATTAATTGTTCTAATTTATGCTTTAACTTGTAACACTGTTCAATTAATGAATATGTTCAATTCATTTTTGGTTGGAATACCATTTTACAATTCGATAACGTTTAGGAACAATTTCTCGGTAATCTTTACATGAAATTTACGTGTTCTATCTCACTAAAATATATTACGATGAGTACGCAATGTGTGACAATGAAGGCAATGTAGGTAAATATGAGTTTCAAAAAATGTAAAAATATCATTGTACCCTGAATAAGTACGGTTTTGGATTTAAATTTGATAAATACTTTTGTACTGTACGTTAAAATTTTATTTTTGACTAAAAACTATTGTTTATTTCAGTCACATATTTATCAAGATTCTCATAAACTCAACTAATAACATATATTACAGTTGTAATAGTAAAACAAGCGGCCTCTTTTAATTTGGAAACTCGTTTAACATTTTGAAGAGGGTTTTACCAAAACGGTCTAAAATAATGATTTACCAATAGTCAAATAACTCTTACATGAAAACGCACGATGACCAGTTCAGGATTCTAAAAAGAAACAACGCATTGCAGTTTCTCAATTTTTTAGAGCAAGAACAATACTTTTCTACACCACACCAAAATAAGCACATCGCAGTTTTAAAGATTCTTGATTGAAAACGCAGTTTTTACGAACAATTTATATTTCCAAACTTGTTCGTAAAGTGCTCTAACACTGGTGACAGGAAGAAGACTTTATTTCCCAAGGGTTTGCCGCGTTGGCGAATCGGTCGGTCACTAAACTCGATTTACAAACCATCGAGGAAATACGGTGTTAGACAAACCTGTCAGCTAGATAAGATATTTGACAAAACTGCCAATGTTATGGAGCATTAGACTAAAATCTTAGTGTGATAATCTATTTTCGAAACTATTGCCATTAATGCACGCTATTTTACGAACCGGTTGACGTGAAAAACTTCTTCGTTCTTTTAATGTTGTGAACTATTTGAATAAATACTTAAATAGTCAATTTTGTTACGTGTTTACCTACGTGAATAATCAGTAGACAAAACTTTAAACTTGAATATCAAACAAGGCACCTGATGCTATGGACTATTTGAGAAAACTAAAAGTATAAATTCAATCTTCAGGTTGTATTTTCACGCAAATTATTACAAAATACATCTTGATATCCAAACATAAAGCTATATAAAAAAACCTAAAAATAAGCATAACTTGATTTGATACAATACATTAAAATAAGAAAATAAGGTCCTTTTTCTTTTGATAATGAATTCTACGAAAAATCACTTTGATAGTTATATGATACGTTCAACGTTAAAATATATTTGACGAAACTTGGTGCTTACTTTTTTTTTTACAGAGACTACTAATATTATATGTCACTAAACTATCTGACTGTGTGACATAACATTTCACCTATCGACACTTATATTGTATTTAACTAGTCATACTTTACTGAAAAATTAAGGCGAACTATGTCAACGTCATACCCTTAACATTTTGAGCAGTTCTTCTTATGTCACGAACATTTCTCCTTCATTTATTTGAGTTTTGTTAATAGAAAACGTGACAGAATTGTTAATACTGAAAAACATTTTAAAGTTGCAATATTTTTTACTGAATGTCATATTATTAGCAGTTCAGAATGTAATTATTACTTTTTAACCCAAACAGAAATAAATTCTAATTTGCAAATTCAATGCTATTGACATAAAAAAACGTTATGTTGTTTTTACAAATAGAGCAGCCTCTATGACTACTGTACCCTTTTCTTAGATTATTTTTGTTGAATAGTTTACGAAACTGTCAACAATATTAGCAACTTCGAACTACAACCACCAGTTGACTGTGCGAGACTCAAATACATTTGACACAGTAAAAAGAGAGCTTTTGAAGCTGTAAAGTGGTGTCTATCAGCTGATATAGCTTTGAAGTCACCACTAAATTGCCCTTTGAGTTTCTGAGTGATTTGCATAACCTCTCCGAGTGTAATTGCTATTTATTTAGGTGAAAGCGTTTGTACAGCAAACATTTCCCTGAATACTTCCTGAATATTCCGTTTAACGTTAAGGTGATTATAAACATAGAACCTAATTATACCCTGAAACTTACTATATATATTAAATTTTTTTGTTTTGGGTTTTTAGCTGGCTTCTTTATTAGCATTATTGAGGTTGTGTAGGAAATACACCAATGAATTATGTATTCTAGTACTGATAGACAAATACTGTATACTGTACAGTTTATCAAGTCAATATTAATTTAATAGATGTTACAACGGCTTTTGATGTTAACAAAAAACAACATAAGTTACAATTGGAGACTCAACTCTACTTGACCCAATATTTGATCGTATGACTGATGGACATTGTCAGCAATTGTAACGTATTTTAATAAATATATATTGTCTTAAGAGTTTTTCTGTGTACATTTAAATGTGTAAAGTAGTGTTAGAATTTTTTTTACATAAGCAGGTTTTTGGGTAATTATGAAATAGGAATTTTATTGAACTCATTTCCAAAACTTAATTCATACATTTTTGGCCATCAAAGAGTTAAACTTGTTTTAAAAGGTTCAAAGATTTAATAATTTAACTTCAATATTCTAGAGAATTTAGTCCAATCAGAAGACACCTACCCCACATGTTTCTTGCAAATCATGTACAAACAGAATTTAAATGCTAACGGTGATTTTCTGATTGAGTTTACATTTTGAATTTGATAAATTTGATAGGAATAACAGTTTTTATTAATACTACTTTGATCTTAAAACGGTTCAAATTAAGTTATAAAAACTACACTAAATACATTGCAACAAACTATTTGTAGCTATACAGCCTGTAGTGATTGTGTTAAATTTGTCTTTTGTCTTCCTTACTTCAAAAACTGATACCTAATATAAATCAATAATGAAGTGTAGGACTCTTTACATAGTGTTTCATTCGTCGTCAATTGATGTCTATTGCTCAAATAAAAAGGCTTATTCACGAAAGAACCGGCTACAACAGTTTTAATTACGGATAATATTCTTCCGACGTTAATTGAAGAAGCCGAGGAAAGACGAGAAATTGCATAAAGATATAAAAGATCTTGTCAGGGAAGGAAGTCATTCAGCTTAATGACGGTGAGCGCTTACATTCAAGTGAACAGTCTTGGTGTGCAATTTGGTATAACTCCTCAGAATGAATTGTGCATGAAACTTAGAGGCAGCTCTACATTATAATATCGTCTGTTTATGTTATAAATGACTTTAAATAATATTTTTTTAAATAATTTTAATGCAAAATAGTAGTTGTGCAAGGTCTTATTATTATTTTAAGATGTGGTCGGTCTGGGGGTTCAAATCCAGCTTATTCGTTCTATTTAACAAAGATGAAAAATTGTATTACTACAGCTTTTTGGGTTCTATTTTTTAAAGTAGTTGGTTACGTAGTTAAGCATAAAAAAAATGTAATACAACTTACCGAACGAGTTTTTAGAGGATATATGTAGAAAACATGTACAAAATACACGTTAAGATTTGTACCAGGTACTTCTATTTTAACGAAACATTCACAATCGCATAATATATTTCATGGTAGTCTATCACTTTATAGTTGTCTTTAATTTATTGTAAACATGTTTTACATTTTTGGTCATAGATAGGTTTGTGTAAAATCTGCATTTTATGGTTGTATTTTGTGACATTTAGCTGGACCAGGATCCATATTTTTAGTGATCTATAAATAATATGACATTAATCACAATAAATAAATTGCCAGCTTCCATAAGTTGAATTTAGACGAATTGTCATAAGCATATCTTCCTTTAGAGATATACAGGGTGTTTGGTACTCAGTGTGAAAAATTTTTTTGGTGTAAGTACAAAGTAAATGCAGTATGATGATGCATATAAAATGTCCCAAGTCTAAAAATTAGCTTCCCAAAGAATTATTTTATGTTTTTCAAAAATAACTATGTTTTTAAACTTAATGCAGCTATTTCTCAATTACTGTAAATTGATTTGAGTAGACAATGTCATTTTCGTGTTCTACATTAAATTTTGAATAAGAATAATACAAAATGACAGAGGATCAGTTGTAAAAACTCCATCGTAAATAGATTCAAAGATAAAAATTAAGATGTCTGATAAAAATGCAAAAAACATTGGTCAATTGCATTTGTTCACACCCTGTATACAGGAAAGTGTCGGAATATGTTAAAAACTGCGCCATTTTATAAGCTTTCCAACCATATGCTTAATAAAATAATTCTTTGGGAAGCTAATTTTTAGACTTGGGACATTTTATATGCATCATCATACTGCATTTACTTTGTACTTACACCAAAAATTTTTTTTCACACTGAGTACCAAACACCCTGTATATCTTGCAGGTATTCAGTGTACTTTTTCAAGGGGAGTCGCTACTGAAACTAGTGATTTAAAAAAATCCATTTAAAAATTATCATAGCCTATATACTTTTTTAAGTTCATTTAGTCTTAGAAAAAGATTAACTGCTGTTGAAGTAAGAAAAAAAAATTACATACTTTTTGGAGTTTTTAAAGTTTTTTGGCGGATGAAACGGGGGTTTTTAAATCTCTTATAACTACTTAACTACTGAACCAATTTTATTGTTTGATATCTCATTTTAAAGAGCAAAGAAAGCAAAAACTTTCTGTGCATACTCATGTTATTTTCTCAATTAGTTTATAAGTTATGGCTTCAAAAATAAGTTTTAGA